GCTGACTTCTCAACAGAAACACTGCAAGCCAGAAGGGAGTGGCAAGAAATCTTCCAAGTCATGAAAAGCAAAGGCCTGCATCCAAGACTGCTCTACCCAGCAAGGCTCTCAATTAAAAGGGAAGGCGAAATAAGGGGTTTTCCAGACAAAAGAAGGCTAAAAGAATACACCTCCACCAAACCAGCATTGCAAGATATGCTAAAGGGACTGCTTTAAGAAGATGAAGAAAAACAGTCTATAAATACCCAGTTCCTTTCACAGTTACCAATACTTGATATTACCAATACTTTTAATATTTATTAATCTGATTGTGACATAGATGTGTTATTTTGTTATTTTATTATTTGTTGAAACTAAACCTGTTTTTTGTATATACCTTGCCTATTTCTATTATTTTTCAAAAGGTTTAAATGACTTTTTGATATTCTTTATGAATTATTTTTTACTGTTTGTAGAATTTTTTCCCTAAAAAGAAACAGAACAAAACTGTTAACTCTTTTTTAGACATGTTGCAAATACTTTCCTATTCTATTACTTGTCCTTTAACTTTTTTATATGTGTATTACTGTATAGTCTTAAATGTTGAATACAGTCATATTGTCAATATTTTACTTTATAGCTTCTGGTTTTGAATATTTTACTTCAGGGTATGAAAAACATTATTTTTTTCTAAAGCTCCTTAGGTTATACATACTCATTTTTAACTCACCTGAATATTTTTTGTATAATGTGTGAAAGAGGGCTCTATATTTGTTTTATTTCAAGAAATAGTGGTCCATGCACCTTATTTGTTGAATAAGCCTTATTTTCCCCATTGATGTGAAATATCAATTTAATCATATATTACATTGTTAGATATATATGTTTGTTTCTAGAATGCTCATTTTATTTCATTGATCTACTTGATTATTTCTGTGCTGGTGTCATGTTTTTTTAATTGCTGAGACCTTATAATGGATTTAAATATTTTATTATTTTATAATGGATTTTGATATTTAAAAAAATAAATAAATAAAATCAATCTGTATTTAAAAAAAAAAGGAAAGAAAAAAGGAATGCCTACCTTTTATGGCAACATGGATGGAACTGGAGAATATTATGCTAAGTGAAATAAGCCAGTTGGTGAAAGACAAATACCATATGATCTTACCTCTAAGTGGAATCTATTCAACAAAATGAACTATACGTATGGAAAAATGGAGCATACTGAAAGTGACCAGAGGGGGTGGAGAAGGAGGACAATGGTGGAAAGAAGGGGAAGAGACTAGACAAAGAACATGTATGAATGACCCATGGACATTGACACGAGAGTAGGAATTGACTGTGGGAGAGGGGGGCGAGGTGGGATGGGTAGAGGACGGCAAAGAGGGAAAAATTGAGACAACTTTAATAGAATAAACATGATTTAAATATTAAAAAAAAATTCTTCCAGACTGATAGGAGGGGCAGAGATGGGCAGAGATGGGCAGCTGGGGTGGTGAAGATGTATGTCAAGGCACTGGCTGGATTTCCAAACAGTGTCACATTTGCCTGAGGATAAACTGGGAGGGACAACTGGGTAGTGAGACAGACTGCACATCCCTGGGTTCCAGCGAGGGTAAATAAAGTCTCAAAACCTCTGGGTGTAAAAACCTGTGGGGGTTGCGGCAGTGGGAGAAACTACCAGATTCATTGAAGAGTTCGTTAGAGAGACCCACAGGGTCCTAGAATATACACAAACCCACCCACCTGGGAACCAGCACCAGAAGGGCCCAATTTTGCTGTGGGTAGCTGGGGAAGTGACTGAAAGCTGGTGGAGAGCCTAGCAAGTGGCATGGTTCCTTCTCTGAGCACTCCCCCACTTATAGCACCATAATGGAGTGACATGGGTTGCCCCGCCCTGGTGAATACCTAAGGCTACACCCCTTACTAACATAGCAGGAGCACTGGGACAAAGAAATATGACCCAAATGAAAGAACGGATCAAAACTTCCGAAAAATTACAACTAAGTGACAAAGAGATAACCCACCTGTCAGATTCAGAGTTCAAAACTTTGGTCAGGATGATCACTGAAATGGTTGAGTATGGTCACAAGATAGAGAAAAAAGTGAAGGCTATGCAAAGGGAAATAAAGCAAAATACACAGGGCACCACACGAAGGGAAGGAAACTGGGACTCAATTTTTAGCAGAAGGAAGAAATAAACATTCAACCTGAACAGCATGAAGAAACAAGAATGCAAAAAAATGAGAGGCTTAGGAAGCTCTGGGACAACTTTAAATGTTCCAACATCCAAATCATAGCTGTTCCAGGAGAAGAATAAAAGGAAGAAATTGAAAACTTCTTTGAAAAAATATAGTAGTTCTAGGAGGAGGAGAAGAAGAAACTGAGAACTTTGAAAAAATAATAAAGGAGAAGTTCCCCAATATGGCCAAGGATATAGATTTCCAGGGAGCCTAGGAAGCTCAGAGTCCCGAAGAAGTTGGACCCAAGGAAGCACATACCAAGGCACATTATCATCACATTACCCTGGATTAAAGATACAGAGAGAGAATCTTAAATGCAACAAGAGAAAATGAGGCAGTTACCTACAAAGTAGTTCCCATAAGACTGTCAGCTTATTTCTCAAAAGAAACCTTGCAGGCAAGAAGGGGCTGGAAAGAAGTATTCAGAGTCATGAAAGGCAAGGACCTACATCCAAGACTACTCTTTCTAGCAAAGCTATCATTTAGAATGGAAGGGCAAATAAAGTACTTCCCAGATGAGGTCAAGTTAAAGTAGTTCATGATCACCAAGCTCTTATCATATGAAATGTTAAAGGAGTTTATTTAAGAAAAAGATCAAAACTGTGAACAGTAAAATGACAACTCACAACTATCAACAAATGAACCTAAAAACAAAAACAAACTAATCAAACAACTAGAACAGGAACAGAATCACAGAAATGGACATCACATAGAGGGTTATCAGCAGGGAGGTGAAGGAGGAAGATAGAGGAAAAAGTACAGGGAGTAAGAAGCACAAATGGTAGGTTCAAAATAGACAGGGGGAGGATAAGAATAGTATAGGAAATGAAGAAACCAGAGAACTTATATGTACGACCAATGGACATAAACTTAAATGGGGGAGATGCTGTTGTGATGGGTAGTGCAGGGTGGAGGGCGATAAAAGGGAGGAAAAAAATGGGACAACTGTAGTAGCATAATTAATATACTTCAAAAAGGAAAAAAAAAACCAAAATAAATTATGTTCTAATGCATTTCTTTGATACTTTCATCTTATCCACCAAAGAAGGCAAACTTTAATTTGTCCATGGCAAATCACCAAACCTGTTTATTGGTAAATCTTCCCTAAGATATTAGCACCCTCTGAATTTGCATGAAATTGAATCTTGAGAAAAGGAGATGAAAGACTGAGGTCCTGACATTAGAATGGCATGACACCTATCATCACTTAACTAGCCTTGTTTTCGTGACACCAGGGATACAGACATGCTTTATTTCCTCCTAATTGGTGTATAATTATGTCCTGAATGTCTGCTGTGTGCAAAATGAAACAGAGTGAATGAAAGAGAGTTTCAGGTTGGGACACTCTCCTTGAAGGTCTCGCACCCTGCCACCAGCCGAACCATGGTATTTTGGTAGATGGCCATGTGGGTCCATTAGCAAGGCTTCTCCCAGGTATGGTTAAAAGGGAGAGTAGAAATACAGCATTCATTTCAGTCAGTTATACTTTTTCCATCAATGTAAGTACTGTTATATTATATCAGTATATTTAAGAGGAATTAGAATTTAGAGAAAGAACCAAAGAAATGTAAATGTCTAGATCTATCTCCTCGTAGCAGACAATATTTGTTGTGCCATACTCTCCTTCTGAATTTTTCAGTTTGCTTTAAGGAAAAACCTTTTGTTTGCCTTCTGCTCCCATTGTTTCAAAACTCCCTTTAGTTTTGCTCAGCTTCTGAGGTGGTTGTAGGAGCTCATTGACTGTTCTGGGGATTGCTCTTCAAAACCTTCTTAGGGAGCGATTCCTCAGTGCAGATGAAGTCTTACCAGTAGTGTGACCATAAACCATACAGGAGGGGGAGCTGTTCTTGTTGAATCTGGAGTTAAATCTGGCTTTTTAATTTATCTTTGTGGGTGGGAATGTAGATAGGGATCTTGGGTTCTGGAGCACAGTTTGAAAACCAGTGTCCTAATGTTGAGAACACCATCACAACTGACTGCTATTAATATATATAAAAGACATATTTTTTTCATGACACCTTTTATCTGCCTCCCTTAATTCTGATTTTTATCCAGTAGTATAAGGTTTTTCTGTCTTGCACAGGTGACCCAGAAACCTTCAAGGTAGGAAGATAGCTGCTTGCAGTCACTACATGTGAAGTGTCTTAAGCAAGTGGGACCTGGGACAAAACAGAGAAATACAAAGATGCTTCTCAAAGACATAAAATTTTCTGATATGCAATTAGGAAGCATATTATTGATAAAGTAAAGAAGAGGGCTTGTCATAAAGTTTCTCACAGGCCAAAAAGTGTAAAAGAAAATTACAGCATAGTATACTCTGAGATTGTAAATGCCATTCTCTACTGTGCTGACTCTATTACTTACTTTTAGAAATTTGCATATAGCATTTTTAAAATACTAATAATGGCATTTCACTTATGCCACAGATATTTTCCTTTACAAAATCTCAATTATGAACTTAATTCTTGGGAGTAAGAAGGCACTGTGATATATTGTAAAATCATATTAATTTTCCCCCCTCCCTTAGAAAGGCATGGTAAGCTTATTATGAGGAAAAAAACTTTTGTTCTGGATTTTTTCTGTGGAAAATACATTTTAACTTGAACAGGATTTAAATGGTAACTTGGTAATAGATAATTGTAGGAGATTGCTGAATGTTCCCCTTAAGGATTAGCTCAGATTTTATGTCATGATTTTTGTAAAAAGTACTATGGAGTCCTATCAAATTGTCTTACATCATGGTTAGTAAGTGCTTATGCTACTTTTTCTCTACAGGAGAACGACTCAGGCACTTTGGACACGGTGGGAGCTGTGGTTGTGGACCATGAAGGGAATGTTGCTGCTGCTGTCTCCAGTGGAGGCTTGGCCTTGAAACATCCAGGAAGAGTTGGGCAGGTAATTGTGAGGTTTTTAAAGTAGTTTTTCAAATTAAAACATGGAATTTTCTAGGTCACACATTTTAAACCATAGAGACATTTTTTTCCATAGGAAAAAAACACCATTGCTTTATAACACATCAATCAAAAACCTTTTCAATATTCTTTCTGAAAAAATTGACTCATAGTAATAGAGTTCTTTCTGATCTTCATCATTGATAATCCAGTGTTTTACGGTTTTCAGTAGGCTGGGCATTTAGTTGACATTTAATAAACGTGTTGATTTCCATTTTCTTTCTTTGTAAATGTCATTCTCTTTAAGAGGAAGCACTACCTCACTGTAGTGCTGTTTGCTCTTTAGGTGGGAAATGATTTTAGTTACATTTTTGTATTTCTTCCATGCAAGGGATATTTTGACCCTCTAAATCCTTCTCCTGATTAAGCATTTCAGCTGTTTTATAGACTAACCAGTATTTCAGGTCACCAACTTATGATACCCAAGAAATCTAGATATAAGGGAGGTCTAATTTATGTGCAACTGACTTATTTCCATTTCACTTGCACATATTCAGTCCCTTTCCCCACCCTCACCCCCTATCATCAACCTTTAGTACTATACTGAGAATGAAATTTAACAGTCTGTTTTATCTAGTAAGCTCTATGTGCTTAATATATTTGTTGAGTGAACAAATGAATTGGACACCCTCATGGTATCTGTTAAAGTAGTTGCAGAGGGTGTGTTTAAGCTCAGTGTTTGGATCCCATGTTACATAGAGAGCACTACGTGGCTGCTCTTTGCACTTTGTTTCTCATGTTTGAAAAAGAGTCGGTGTTACCGTTGCTTTGGACATGGTGGTTAGAGAATGCTTGCAACAGAGTGATCTGATTCATGGACAGCTTTGCAAAGCCTCAAGTCTTGTTCCGTAATCTGCATTTATTGTGGACAAACCACTTACACTCCTCAGAAGAAAGGGAAGGGAAAAATAGTTACTTTTGTGCAATTCTTTGCCTACTATACAAGGGAATTTATGGAGAATGATTACTCAACATGTGTACTATGCTTTGAACTCATTATAAAAAGGTCTTTGTCTCATCATGGTATTTTTCCACATTATGAAATTCTCATGCATTTGTCAAGTTTGGAGTAAGGAAACAAAGGTTGGCATATTGGATTTGGATGCCTTTGTAAAGAAGGAGAAAGAAAAGCCAGCAGAGCTACCTTTATACCATTCCAGTTCTTATGATTTTCTCACTGTTTTTTGTTTGTTTTGGTTAGCAAAATAGCAACAACAGAATCAAGGATAGCTCTGGACTATGTTAGCAGACTATTACGTCAAACAATCTTTAAGCCATTCTGCCACTGCAGAGAAGACTATCCTGGAAAAAGAAATACTTATGTAAAACTTAAATGTTTATTTGCTGCACTTGGCTAGTTTAAGAAAATACTGTTTGTGAGAGATGAAAACTCAGGAAGGGGTGAGGAGACGAGGAGTCAAGGTATTTACAGGCAAATACAATTGCTTAATTGGATTATTTTGCTTGGATAAGATGTAATTAACCTAGTCTGGAAAAATGTAAAATTCAGACGAAAGATAGAACTGTTCTTGACAATCAGGACAGAATGTAATAAAATACATAAGCAAAAAAAATGCACAAGCAAATTTATTTTATTTTTTTATTGTTCGGATACATTTGTCTTCATATTCCCACCACCACTTTCCCCTGTCACACCTAACCCCACCTCCCACTCTCAATTCTTTCCCACTCTCAATTCTTTCCCACTTTTGCTTTGTCTGTGTGTCCTTTATATATGTTCCTTGATTTGACCCTTCTCCTTCTTGAGGATGTTATTTCTTCCAATACATGAACATGGTATATGCTTCTGTTTACTTGTGTATTCCTTAATTTCTGTCTTCAGTGTTGTGTAGTTTCCTGAGTACAGGTCTTTTACCTCCTTGGTTAATTTTTTCCTAAGTACTTTATTTTTCTTGTTGCTATAGCAAATGGGATTTTTTCCCCTTGATTTCTGATTCTGATATTTCATTGTTGGTGTACAAAAATGCCTTTGATTTCTGAATATTGACTTTGTATCCCTCTCTTTTGCCAAATTCACTTATTAGGTCGAGTAATTTTCTGGTGGAGTCTATCAGGTTTTCTATGTACACTGTCATGTTATCTGCAAACAGTGACAGTTTTACTTGCTACTTTCCAATTTGGAAGACTTTTATTTCTTTTTCTTGTCTGATCACTGTGGCTAGGACTTTCAGTGCTATGGTGAATAGAAGTGGTGAAAGTGGAAAACCTTGTCTAGTTCCTGATCTTAGTGGGAAAGCCTTTAGATTTTGCCTGTTGAGTATGACATTGGCTGTAGGTTTTTCATATATGGCCTTTGTTATGTTGAGGTATTCCCCCTTTATTCCCATTTTGCTGAGTGTTTTGATCATAAATGGGTGCTGTATCTTATCGAATGCTTTTTCTGCGTCTATCAAAATGATCATGTGGTTTTTGTCTTTTCTTTTATTTATGTGATGTATTACATTTATTGACTTGCGTATATTGAACCATCCCTGCATCCCTGGGATGAATCCCAGTTGATTGCCAGATGAGGTTTGCCAATACTTTGTTGAGGATTTTAGCATCTATGTTCATCAGCGAAATTGGCCTGTAGTTTTCTTTCTTTGTAGGGTCTTTATCTGGTTTGGGGATTAGGGTGAGGCTGGCCTCATAGAAAGAGTCTGGGAGTCTTCCCTTCTCTTGGATTTTTTGGAATAGTCTGAGAAGGACAGGGGTTAGCTCATCCTTAAATGTTTTGTAAAATTCTCCTGTGAAACTGTCTGGCCCTGGACTTTTGTGTGCCGGGAGTTTCTTGATTACTGCTTCAATTTCCCCAGCTGTTACCGGTCTGTTCAAGCTTTCTATTTCTTCCTCCTTCAGTGTTGGAAGATTATACTTTTCAAAAAATTTGTCCATTTCATCAAGGTTTGCAAATTTCTTGGCATATAATTGTTTATAGTGATTTCTTACAATTCTTTGTATTTTTGTGGTATCAGTTGTTATTTCTCCTCTTTCATTTCTAATACTTATTTGAGTCCTCTCCCTTTTTTCCTTGATGAGTCTGCTTAAAGACTTGTCGGTTTTGTTTATCTTTTCAAAGAACCAGCTCCTGGATTTGTTGATCCTTTATCCTTTAAATTGTTGTTTTATTCTCTGTGTCATTCTGTTCTGCTCAGATCTTGATTGCTTCCTTCCTTGTACATGCTCTGGGCTTTGTTTTTGTTTCTCTAGTTCTTGAAGCTGTAGGGTTAGGTTGTTTATTTGAAATGTTTCTATCTTTTTTAGGTAGGCATGTATTGCCGTGATCTTTCCTCTCAGGACTGCCTTCACTGTGTCCAGTAGGTTTTGGACTGTTGTGTGTTCATTTTCATTTGTTTCAGAAACTTTTTGATTTCTTTTTTGATCTCATTTTTGATCCATTCATTGTTTAATAGCATGCTCTTCAGTCTCCATGAGTTTGAATGTTTTTGTGGTTTTTCCTTGAGGTTGGTTTGTAGTTTCAAGCCCTTGTGGTCTGAGAAAATCCTTGTTATGATTAAAATTTTCTTGAATTTGTTGAGGCTTGTTTTGTGTCTTATCGTGTGATCTATCTTTGAAAAGGTTCCATGTGCATTTGAAAAGAATGTGTATTTTGCTTCTTTGGGATGAAAGGTTCTATACATGGCAGTTAGGTCCATTTGATCTAATGTGTCATTCAGTTCCACAATCTCCTTGTTGATGTTTTGTTTGGAAGATCCACCCATTGTTGTCAGTGGGGTGTTAAAATCCCCTACTGTCCGTATGTTGCTGTCTATCTCTTTCTTGAAGTCTTCCAAGGTTTTCCTTATATATTTGTGTGTTCCTGTGTTGGTTGCATAGAGGTTTACAATGTTTATGTCTTCTTGATGGATTGTTCCTTTGAGTATTATGAAGTGTCGTTCTTGGTCTCTTTTTATGGCCTTTGTTTTGAAATCTATCTTCTCTGATATAAGTACCGCTACCCCTGCTTTTTTTTCCTGTTCATTTGCTTGGAATATTTTTTTCTTGCCCTTTACTTTCAGTCTGTGTAGGTCCTTTGTTCTGAGGTGGGTCTCTTGTAGGCAACATATGTGTGGATCATATTTTCTTATCCACTCAGCTTCCCTGTGTCTTTTTATTGGGGCATTTACTCCATTTACATTTAAAGTTATTATTGATAGGTACTTATTTCATTTTTTCCCTTTGTACCTGTGTTCCTCTCTTTCTCACTCTTTATCTTAGCATATCTTGCATTGCTGGTTTGGTGGAAGTGTATTCTTTTAGCCTTCTTTTGTCTGGGAAATCCCTTATTTCACCTTCCATTTTAATTGAGAGCCCTGCTGGGTAGAGCCCTCATGGTTGCATGCCTTTGCTTTTCGTGACTTGGAGTATTTCTTGCCATTCCCTTCTTATTAGTAGTATTTCTGTTGAGAAGTCAGCTGCTAGCCATATTGGGGCCCTCTTGTATATTACTACCTGTTTCTCCCTTGCTGTCTTTAGGATTCTCTGTCTTTGGTATTTTCCATTTTAATGATGATGTGTCTTGGAGTGGGCCTCATTGGGTTCCTCTTGAATGGGACCCTCTGTGCTTCCTGGACTTGTGTGGCTTTTTCTCTCCTCAAATTAGGGAAGTTTTCCATCATTACTTTTTCAAATCTACTCTCCCTTGCTCCTCCTCTTCTCATTCTGGTATCCCCATTATACTGATATTATTTCGTTTCAGGTTCTCTTGCATTTCCCTAAACGCCTTTTCATTCTTTTTGAATCTTTTTTTCACTTTCTTGCTCTTTCTGGAAGCTTTTTTCTACCTCAATCTACCATCCAGCTCACTGATTTGATCCTTGGCTTTATCTAGCCTGCTTTTGATTCCTCTGTGTTCTTCAATTCATAAATTATATTCTTATTTTCCCCTTGCCTCTCATTGATAGTTTCTCTCTCGTTTTTCATGCTTATATGGTTTGCGGTAAG